AATACTTCTACTTGTATAAAATAGTTTTAGTCTCCCTATTTTAATAGTACTATTAGCGAAATATTAGTAAAATTCTATCTATACTAGAACTAGTAGATAATAATAATATAAGGTTAAAAAGCTTTAGGGCGAAAAATTCTAGAATAAGCTATACTACTTGATTAAACAAAAGGATAGCCCTCTAAATATAACTAATAGATATTATACTTAAATGCAGTAAATACGAGAAATATTATTACAAAGTTCCTAGAAGTAAAAGAAAAGTTCGAATCAATTAAGATTATTATAGAAAAATATTAATTTAACTATAAAATACCAGCAAAATATAGTAAAATAATTAGCTTATCCTAGTAACCTATTATCTCTATAAAACTAAGAAAATATAAATTATCCTTAAAATATGAATAGTAGAAAGAACCTCCTATAAGCTAACGAAACACTAGTAACCTGGCGACTAAATAAGATAGTTCTTAATAGGGAAGTCCTCAACTATATTTATCTTAAGCTAGTTAAACTAAGGATTTAATAACTTATTATATTAGTCTAACTAATTATAATCCTACTAATACAGGTATAAAAGGTCTATATAATAAAAGTCTAAGTATATTAACTATTATTAAAAAGATAGGTAGAAGCTTTAGTAACTAGACGATAACACGATACTATACTAGGGGGGATAGGGATTAGCTAGAGTAACTTGCGACAGTTATAAATAGCCGCCTTATCCGTTAGCGATATCCTATTAAAGTATTAGTAAAACTCCTAGAAACGATAATAGAATAGTATAACTTCGCTAGATTATTATCTAAAGTAATACTACAATAGGTTAATATAACTTTAATTGATTTATTGATACTAGTACCTATTACTAGGATAGAGACCTAATAAGTAAAGAGATTATAAGAGGACGGTAGTTAAAGAAGGAAGGACTAATTAATTAACACGTTTCTTAGGTAGGACAGCTACTTAGTAGTAGTAGCCGCTTAGTAGTAAAGTACGTTATCTATATAAGCCCCTAACGGCGTAAGATATTCTATAACCTCTAAATAAAGGAGCTAAAGGTTATCCTAATATAAGGCGTAATGTCTCGGTAGAATTTAATATTTCTAATACTTCATTAAGTAAAGCGACTTCGTACGGTATTTCTACCTTTCTATACGAGTTATAATTACGAGGAAAAACTACTAAATAATAAGGAATAGCGCTAAATCGACTATCACCTATATATCACTAAGCTATTCTTTAACTACACGACTAAGCTTTTAAATACCCGAGATATAACTATATATCTAGTATCTAGTATCTAAGATTTATAATTTACTTTTATATTTAAAAGTTAATAAAGTAGCTCTAGCGGAAGCGAGCTCTATAGAAAATATATATACTTAGGTCTCTCAAAGCTAGCTAATTAAAGCTAGACGAGTACTACTTATAGATAGATAATATTTAAGGGTATATCTATACGATTAGTACTATACTAGCCTCTAATCATTAGTTCTAATTCTTCTTATTAGATAACTAGGATAAATTATAGCGGGATAAATATTAGAGCTCCTTCTAAGAAGCCCTAGTTCTTTACTAAGTGTATGTCTTAAATACTCTAAATATTATAAGCTCTTACTTTATAGTAAGGCTAAACTTAAGGCTAAATAAGATATTAAATAGATATAGATCTTAGATAAGGCCGATTAGGGATAAAGCGACTTAGTATCTTAATAGTAGTAAGTTTAAATATAATTTTCCTCTACCTAATACTAACTTCTTCTTAGATACTATTAATACTAAGCCTCTTTAGTTCTAGAAAGAGCACTAAGGCTATTTTACTATAATCGCTACTCTTATATAGGATATTCTCTTAATTCTACTAACTAGAGCTAGCGTAGAGCGACTCTTTAATACTACTTAAGGTACCTACTATTATCGCCGTAGCCGTATAAAGTCTGAAATAATTAAGGAGCTTATAATATTTCTTTATACTTTAAGGTTGAATCGTAAAGAATAGGAGGTAAAGGAGCTTAAAAAATTCTTGTCTTTAGATAAATTAAGGTAGTAAAGAAAGAGAAAGATAAGAGGCCTAATAACGTTAAGATAGACCTAATTAATAATACTAAGGAGCTAGTTAATAGGTCTAATAATCTAATAGAGATAGATAATAATAGTGATAATAGTAATAATATTAATAAGTGATACTAGGCCTCTACAACTAGACAGTAGTACCTAGCTATAGGTATTAGGGAGAAAATAAAAAAGAAAGGAGGATAATATATTTAAGACTTATTAGTAGAATCATAGTATATATAATAATAAAATTGAACTATAGTCTATTCTATTAATATTTAAAGTCTAGTAGAAAAATTAGAGAGAAAGGATATAACTAAAATACTTAAAATTATAGCTCGATAATATATGTTATAAAGCTATGAAATCTTAGCATATTTATAATATTTGTTACCTAATTAGGTACCGAGGGGTTTTATTAGGTCACCTAGTATAACCCAAAACCTATATTAGGTCCGAGGTTAGGACCCAAAACCCAACTCAAAGCTAGGTTGGGTTGGGTTAGGTCCGGGTCCAATTGGGTCGTGGAGAAGTCTAGTCCGTACTAGGTGGCATGGTCACGGTTATTCGTGGAGTCTGCACGGGACTTTGCTAACACGTTTGTTGGTTAGCTCTCGATGGCCTATTTGTAAGTTGCGGCTGTAGGGGCCGTAACATAATGCTCCGGTTTCTACCGGCAGGATTATTCTTAAAGTCCTAATTAAGGCAAGGGTTGCCTAACACACGAGTTGTAACGTAACATGCAAGCGAGGGTAATACGAGCGCCGCACCACGCGTAACTCTCGCGTTTTAATTTAACCCTTCTTTTTTAACAACCCACCATGCCACTAATACGCACTTAAAGCTCTCAAAAACGTGCTGAGTAGGAGGGTAGGATCTTATTAGCTATTTAGTCTTATAAAAATGGCAAAAAAGGTTCAATTCGTCAATTGGTACGCGATTTTGACGTACCCGACCGGACCCTCCGCCGTCGCATAGAAGGCGTTAAATGCCGCGTAGAAACCCGCGCTAATAACCAAAAATGACAATTTTGGAAGAGGAAACGCTGGAAAATTGGATTATCTTATTAGATAAGCGAGGAGTAGCACCCTAGCCGAATACTATAAGAGAGGTAGCTAATTTATTGCTAGAAGGCCGTGAGGATAGCACTAATATTACGGTCGGTGAGAAATAGGTCTACCACTTCGTTAAGCGGTATCTAGACCTTATAACTCGATTCTCACGCGCGTACGATTACCGGCGAGCTTAATGCGAGGATATAAAGATAATATCTAGCTAGTTTAACTATATAAGAGCTATGATTAATAAATACGGTATTTTAAGTGATAATATCTATAATTTCGATAAGACTAGCTTCGCTCTCGGCCTCACTATCACTACGAAAATTATTACGAAGACTTCCTACGGTCGGCGAGCCTTTTTATAGCCTAGAAATCGATAATAGGTAATAGTAATTAAGATAATAAATACGTCGGGGTAGGTGCTACCGCTATACGTTATTTTTAAAGGCAAGGTCTTTATAAAGTCTTAGTTTACTAGCGATACCACCGTACCGGATAATTAGCTATTCGCTATTAGTGATAATAGATAGACGATAAATACTATTAGCCTTAAATAGCTTTAAAAGCTCTTTATACTATCGACTACTAGCTAGATAAAGGGAGGGTATCGGCTCTTAATACTCAACGGATATAGTAGCTATATTACCTCCTAATTTAATAAGATTTGCGCTAAAAATGATATTATACTAATTTTTATACTAGCGTATTTATCTCACCTCTTATAACCTCTTAATATCGGCTATTTTAGCGTGTTAAAATAGGTATATAGTAAGGTTATTAAGTTATAGACTAGACTTAGTATCGCCGGAATTAATAAGACTATCTTTCTTAAGGTATATTAGACGTCGAGAATTAAGATATATAAGCCGGAGACTATTGTAAATAGCTTTATAGGCGCTAGTCTAGCGCTATTTAATCCTTAACACGTTATTTCGAAGCTTAATATTCGCATTACTACCCCCCTACGACCTACTAGCTATAGTAGCGATTTAAGCCGCAATTTTACTCTAAAGACGCCTCATATAGTAAAAGAAGTGAAGAGATAGGCCTTATCTATTAGGAAGCTCGCTACTAATAACCCCGAGCGTCTAAATAATACTATTAATTAGATAGAAAAAGGGTGCTAGCTCGCGATATATAGCTTCACTATTGCGCGTTAGCAAATAAGCGATTTACTCGCTACTAATGCTAAAACGACGCGTAAAAAACATCGTACAAAGGCCTAAATAGCTTATTAAGGTAGTCTACTAGTTCAAGAAGCAATAACACGTATTGGTAGACTAGGGTAGGTGGAAGAAGCTATATGTAAGTAGGCCGACGGCTTATCCCCGACGCCGAATTCGACCAATAAGAGGCGCCTATAGCGATACAGTTTACAAGAGAAATAGGTGCCTAGAGAGGTCTGAATAGCTTCAATATTAATTATATGGCGTTGTGGTTGAAAAAATTGAATAATAATAGCATGTCTACTAGGTGGGTGCGGCGCTCGTATTACTGCGGCGCTCGCTTGCATGTTACGTTATGCGATACGTACGATACTCTGGTATATATATAGGTCCTCGGATATGACTGACTCTGGTCAGATAGAATGGTCTTTTAGCTTACTTAGAGAATACGTGCCGAGGCGTATCCTTTACATACCGACTCATGTTTCATTCTTATATATTATTAAATGTATAGAAGCGGGTTGGATTGATTGATCATAGAAATATAAGAACAGATACGACTAGAGTAACGATCCATTTATATTCCGCATATCCTTGATTTTCGACATTGATTGTCTAAGCATCGGCACTAGACCACCCAAGAAACAACCAAAATCAACAAAGATGCGATCCAAATCATCAAAAAGCTCAAATAGGGTAAAGGTAGATACAGGCATCATGAAGGAGGCGCAGAAGCAGGCGGTTCAGGCTTTTTTTCCGCCTTTGAGACCTGCTTCGGCCTGGCGTTGTTACCTAACATCCACATTGCAAAACTTCCAGGCATAGCCGGACCCTTGGCCTTTGCCTTCTTATTGCCTGGAGTAAACTGTCAGCATTCCGATCAAAAGCCTAGAAGGAAGACTCTTACCCGACTCTGCCTTCTTCTTTGACTCCGGAGGCGCCTCGGCAGGTTTATCCAGGGGCGCTGGTACCTCTGCCGGGGGAGGGGGATCTTCTTTTGGCTTTTCGGGAATTGGCCACATATGCATAGTGATGGCCCAGTCCGGTTCAATAACCGTTTCCCAGACTTGTGGAAGGATAATGTCGCCATTGGGACCGATAAGATCATAGTGTCCATCAGCCACATGGGGACCAATCACTTCAATATGAAGGAAAGCCTGCCGAATGAGCTCCTCCATTCCCTGTAAACCACTGTTAACGAACTGACAATGATTTTGATTGGAAAAAGACATACCTGCCATGTGGCACACAGCTCAAACGGAAAGCTGAACTTTCTCCCAACAGCGTCTTTGAACTTGATAGGCTTCTTTTTCTCCGGAGCAGGTGGTGGAGGCGGTGGTTTGGCAGCTTCTGCTGCCGCCGCCGTTGCTGCAGCTGCAGCCTCTGCAGCAGCGGCAGCAGCGGCTTTTTCTGCCTCACCCTTGGCCTTAGCGGCATCCTCTGCCGCCTTTGCCTCCGCATCAGCTCGGGCAAGAGCTGCAGCTTCTGAGGCGATCTTCATGTCATGCGCTGTCTGCGCATCTTGCGCGGCCTTCTCAGCGGCAGCACGATCTTTGGCTTCTTTAATGGCCTTTTCTTTATCTTCGCGCTCTTTGCGATCATTTATAATCAACTGCTCCAACCGGGCAATTGCTTCATCTTTGGCCGTATCAGCCGGGGTGGGTGCTGGTGGTGCCGGTGCCGGTTCTGGAGCGGGGGGTGGGGGTGGAGGCGGGGAAGGCTTTGGTTCCGCTTGTGTCGGAGGAGAAGATACTTGGGGGTAGGGGACTGGCCAAAAGTGAGGAGGAATCATGCCTGGCATCGGTCCCCCAAAATAGGTAGGATCTCGATAATAACCGGCTTGTCCATAGGCCATCAACTCATGCGAGGGGAAAGGAGATGCCCCATAAGGGTTGGGGGCGCCATGGGGCGCCATGGGGTGTGGCATATGCGCCTGTGGATTGTGCAGATCATTTCGCGACTGAGGTGGCTGGCGAGACATATGGCGTTGTTGGGATTGATCCGGGAAGAAATGATGCATAGGAGAGCCGTGGGGGGGTTGAAATTGAGGGTTGTACCCGTAAGGTGAAGGAGCCCCATAAGGGGGCTGCGCGGCTTGGTTGGGATGACCGATTCTCATCAGATCAGAGGTGATTTGGGCGTTGGGATGCGCATAAGGAGGTTGATGACCGGGCGCGGGAGGGTAGGCATTGTAAGATGGACCAGAGGACTGGCTGTGAGCGTAACCAGGGGCAGGTGGCGCTGTTGGGGGCCACGCCCTCCGATCAGGTGGTGGTCGTTCAAAGTGAGGAGGAAATTCATCCGATTCCACACTGTCAGGAGAATCGGGGGATCGTTGTCTTCGGCCTCGAGAGGCGAACGAGTCGCGTTCTGGAATCATACGTCGCGATGTTGGGCGACGGCCCGAAGCGGAGTGTGAACCGTGGAGCGGGCGGCTGCGTGAAGTTCTTGGTCGGGAGGCTGAATCAGACGGTTTCAATTCATGCGGATAAGGCAAATGCGCCCACTCATCATAGTCCTGGAAATCATGGCTTCCCTCTGAAGGTACAGAAACATGCACACCAGACGAGTCCTCGTCGGACAAAGAGTGATCCGAGCCGTGCGGGTCTGGATCAATCGAGATACTGAGCCTATTGTGAAAGGGATCAGAAAAGGGAGGGGAGTAGGGGGAAGGTCAAAACACACGTCATAGAGACCAGAAGCGGGGGAATATCACTTCTTATATAGAAATCGAAATCCTCTCTCTCTCTGTCGCATGCGCGAAGTGAGGAGGGAATATCCCAAGATAGATGAACCAGTCAAGATGGTGGAGAGAGGAAAGGTTCAGGACGCGGGGGGGTTTGCGCATTGACTTGTTTTTTTTTTTTACCCTTCACCCCGCTAGATTGTAGACAGTAGTAAATAGGGAGTCAAGAGAGTCTCAAGAGGTAAGGGGAAAAAAAAGAAACAGTGAGGCGATTTAGGCCAAGGGTATCATGCAGAAAGAAAAGAAAGAGAAGGGCTTTTTGAGGAATGTGACAGCCCGTTGGGCATATAGTCATTTGGGGGTGTTTTTTCTTTCTCTGCCCAAACTGCCCAATTACTCTCTCAGCCCCATCATATCTATATCTAGGTATTGGAGTTCGGATCAGGCTAGAAATTATTGTATTCTCTCTCTTAGAATCGATTCAGTAGTTCTTTGGCTGCAATCAGTTCACTGCGGCTGGATGCCCAATGTTGGTCATCGACTGATCGTGACTTGACAATCTCGCCCAACTTGAGTAAACCAAATGCCTTTAGACGCTCCAGGGTCTTGTTGGGTATAGATCCATCAGACTTCTCAAGCATCCGGGATGAAGCCTGCGGGCCATTAGTAGGGAATCGTTGACTCTATAGTTTCATTACATACCAATGTCAACCCATAGAATCCCCGCAAGTAGTCGTCGCAAAGCTCAATACTTCGGGAAAAGTGCTGCACCGACCTCTGTAGTGCATCTCCATCGATGTATAAGAGCTCACCCAGGCGTGCATGGATCTAGTTTCAGTTAGTGAGATGACTCAGAGCACATGTTGGGTTTCGTACATTCCACGAATTAGGCGCAATGAGTAAGGCCTCCTCAAGGCTAAAGATAGCCTGGGAGCTCAACCCCTGTGACTGGTATAGGTCCGCCAGTTCACACCAGGCTTCGGCATCAGTGGGAATAGCATCGAGAAGTTGAATAAGAGCCGAGATCGCGTCAGATGACCGGTTGAGCGACCGCAGCAGCGCAACCCGGCGCTTCAGAATAGGCTGGCACATGGTCAGCTGGAAATGAAAAACAGAAAACAGCGGCGTACTGACTACATTCACTGGACTTTGTGACAAGATTTGATCGTATTCCTGCAAGCATTTCTCTAGTGCTGAATGATCCTTGGCGGTGGCTTCTTCAAACAGGCCACGAAGTCCCATGATCCTTTCATTTGAGGGTCCAAATCGGAGGCTGAGGCGATTGAGGCAGGCCTGCGCTGACTGATCGTCACCCGTTCGGAGACAAGCCAGTAGAAGTTGCTCTATCCGTGCATAGTATTCTGCGGTATCTGCAGACGCGGCCGAGGATTTGGATTGAGACTCCTGGCCCAGGATTGTCGGTGCTTGTTGAGCAAGATGAAGAGCTGAGATCAGATCCGATCCATTGATGTTGCGAACATCGGTGACGGAACCTGCCATGATGAGTAGAAAGATGAGTGATATCTCGGAAATCGTTGAGAGAGATACGTATCTTGTCGAGAGGACAGGTGCCTCGGAGCTAAGGTGAGGTCCCGTGATTCCTTATCGCGGTTCCACCAACTCCACCCCGCGGAGCTCTGTTGCTTGCACATCTCTCTCTCTCTCTCTCTCTTTCATTCTTGTATGCCAGGGCCGATATGGTAGCCCTTGCAGCCATGTGCCTCCTCGAGAAATAAATCAAATTCCTTCTCATTACCGTTACCACTCTTTCTACCGTTCCCTGCGGTCTGTGACGAACGACACAATGTGGGCACCCACGCATCTAATAAGATAATGTCCTAATTTCTAATTTCGGGGGAAATATAGGTTCGAAAAATCCCTCTACGACCTTATCAAAGGCCTTCGGGGCCATAAAGGGGGCGAAAATGAATACATTCAGAATTGCTTGCGTGAATGCAAGACTGAAATCAAAACGCAAGACATGGGTACTCTCAATGACCTATACGGTGAGATGGAAACAAATACTGATATTTCGACTAGACAAAAAGGCCACCGCTCTCTTGAAGCTCATATATCTCGAAATGTTTGGATATGATATGTCATGGGCATCCTTCCATGTTCTGGAAGTCATGTCGTCCGCCAAATACCTTCAGAAAAGAGTCGGCTATCTCGGAGCCGTACAAAGCTTTCGACCTGATACAGAAGTACTGATGCTAGCGACGAATCTGTTGAAGAAGGTGTGTGCTTGGCCTTCCTATCCGTACACCTGAGCATAACTAATACGATGTGTAGGACATTGTCAACTCCAGTATTCCTAACATGTCTCTTCCTCTGATTACATTGCCACACATCATCACGCCCTCTCTGGCAATGTCTCTACTCCCTGACGTCCTGTCCCGCCTTTCACATTCGAACCCCGTGGTACGCAAAAAAACAATTGTATGCCTCTACAGGCTTGCCTTGGTCTATCCCGAAGCCCTGAAGCTGGCCTGGCCTAAAATCAAAGATCATCTGATGGACGATCAAGAAGATAGCAGTGTAACCACGGCGGCAATCAATGTTGTTTGTGAGCTTGGCTGGAGACGGCCTCATGACTTTCTCCCTTTAGCGCCCCGATTCTTCGAGCTTCTTGTGGATAGCGGCAACAATTGGATGGCAATCAAGATCATCAAACTAGTCAGTTCTTCCAGCAATCAACTTGGAAAATTTTCAATCTCTGACCATGGACAGTTTGCAACCCTGACCCCGCTGGAGCCACGACTGACTCGCAAACTTCTGCGGCCATTGACCAATATTATTCAAACCACCTCTGCCATGTCCTTGCTTTATGAATGCATAAATGGTATCATTCAAGGAGGGATATTGGATGGAGAAGATAGCCTCCAAGAAAGAGACGAAGTCGCCACTCTTTGTGTTGAAAAATTGCGTGGTATGATAGTCATGGATGCTGACCCAAATCGTGAGTTTCTTCCCTCTTTATATATGTATTGTCACTGATCCACTCGAAGTCAAATATGTTGCGCTCCTTGCATTGAACCGCATTGTCGCCACACATCCAACTCTAGTTTCTATGCAACAGGACGTCATTATGGACTGCCTAGATGACGCAGATGTTTCTATTCGATTGCAGGCATTGGAGCTTGCCGTTGGAATGGTCGACAGTGACTCTTTACAACTGGTTGTTAATCGCCTACTAGATCAACTGCGACGCGCCTCTATGTCTGCAAATGAAGCTATCCAGTCAGCCCATGCAGAAACCGAAGATCTCTCTGAAGGTTCCCCAACTGATGGTCCTGGGGCTGACACCTTGGTCCTGTGGCCCAGTGATTATCAGACCGAAGTTGTCCACCGGATTTTAGATCTCTGTTCACAGAACAACTACTCTGAAGTTGTTGACTTTGAGTGGTACGTCGCCGTGTTGGTACAATTAGTCGGTCTCATACCTCCTTCAGAACCCGAAGAAATAGCGGACCAAGATTCCATGACCAATTCACGAATGAACGCCGCACTTCGAATTGGAACAGAGATTCGCAACGTTGCTGTGCGTGTCAAAGGAGTGCGCCTGGAGGCGACAAGAGCCGCCGAGTCACTCATATTTGTGGATACTAGGTCTCACTTTTTCCCTACCGGTTCGACTATCGGCGACGGTGTCTTGGGACCCGTTGCCTGGGTACTTGGTGAATATGCAGAATATCTGTTGTCGCCTAAGCGGACCTTGCAATCTTTGATTAACATCTCCAATGTGTCGCTTCACCCGAGAACCGTTTCTCTCTTTCTACAAGCCATTCCGAAGGTTTTCGTTCGAGCCAGCCAAAATGGCAAGCCAGGTGATAGCTGGAAGAGTGAAATGTCACTTTTGCTTGCTCGGGTCGTGGAATTTCTTGAGGCTTTGGCAGCCCACCCCGATCTGGACGTTCAAGAACGAGCCATTGAATTTTTGGAAGTCCTTCGATTGGCAGCCGAGGCGTTGCACTCTGAAACGCAAGAAGTTCCGTTCCTTCTCGCCTCGGTTATACCGGGCCTATTTATGGGGCTCGAGCTCAACCCTGTTGCAGCCAGCGCTCAGAAGAAGGTTGTTTTACCGGACAGTCTTTGTTTGGACGAGCCATTTAGCCCTGATCTACCGGGTCTTTTCCGCAATCTAGACAGCTCGGCTCATGAGCTTTCGACACGTGATGTCATCCAAGACTTTTATAATGTCCCGGAAACCGCGTCCACCAAGCAGACGCTTGAATTCACGCCAGTCGATGCCCAATCTCATACATCATATCAGAACTTCCCTGGCGATGCGTCGGCCGGAGAAAGGAGAAAGCTTGAGCGCAGGGAACGCTTCAAAGATGACCCATTTTACATTGCTCCTTCTGGCGAGTCGTCTGGCACATCTACGCCATTTCATGAAATCCTCAACACCTCTAACGGAGAAGGACTGGACATCGATTCCATTCCTATTGTTGACTTAAAGCTAGAAGATGAACCGTCACATTCTGCTAACCTTGACCGTTCACGGTCCCGTCGGGTCCCCTTGAGCAAACTTGCGGTTGCTGCTGACGAGACCCTTGAGACGCAAATTGATAACTCAAAGCCGAAAGGAGTTACAGATGGACAACCCGCCCCGAAGCGTTCTCTGCTTCAGGTTGATTCTAGCAGCCTTGACCGTCTTGCTCTTTCCAAGGGGGCATCTCAGATGTCTGCAGATGAGGGAGATACAGATATGATCAAGGCTATGCAGCAGGTCGAGGAAGTACGGTTGCGGATGCAACGAGCATCAGAGCGCATTCAATTAGAAGGTACACCAGCAGAAGGAACCTTAATCAAGAAAAAGAAGAAAAAGGCGAAAAAGAACGTGGATGAGGAGCCCGCGGAGCCTATTGTTAGGAGGAAGAAGAAGAAGATCAAGGGACCAGAAAAGGAGTCAGATAATTGATCACCGGTCTCTTGAGGCTGGGTATTCGCATTCGCAAATGGTATTTGGCTCAGTAAAAAAAATGATAATCAACTATGCATAATTTCAGAAGACAAGAAGTGGCGTGGTGAGCAATGTCGCTTTCCGCTTTTGGCCGAGAAACTCCAAACTGCTCCCTCAAACGCCGGTGTGATCAAATAGGGGGCCCTTGACACGAGATAGTTTTGTCATGGGCTAATTGGCGCGGGTATTTCAGGTCTGAGATATGAGTCTGAGGCACATTATCCCGTGATGCGGGTGAACATTGAGGCCACGGTTGACCAGAGCTCAGGGACAATGCGCAGGAGCTCTAGAAGAAGACCGCCGCAAACGACAAAGGCGAGGATCACTAGGAGGTTGTTAAAATGAGGCCCAAGCTAACAGATAGCGCCTACATACCAACCCAGCTTGCTGATACTGGCGACTTTCCATTCTTCTTTGGTTTGACTGTGGTTGGTGCCTTGCCGCGCTTCGCAGCCTCGGTCTTTGCGAACCGCTCATTTGCTCTGCGTTGTTGGGGTGTTTGTGCCTGATATAATGTCAATAGCCACCCATGATGTGAATATCGTACTTGTGCCTACCATGATGAGTTGATTGGGGGTATATACGAGGAAGACGAAAGTATTAGGGGTAGTTTCACGAGGACATGAATGTGCCGGCAAAAAAAAGGCCACGTTGTTTTTTGACACGTCGACGATTTTGGGAGGAACCCCTTAATTTGTACCAATTCCCCGATTTCAGGGCACCATATGTAACCATATGTCTATCCCTTAGTACCTTCAAACTACAATTATCCCATCTTCCTGGTGATAGAGCAAGTAGCGGAATCCAAGTATATTACAATAGTTCCTCCGGTGATTTCCGAAAAAGACAGTGAATAAGCGATGACTCTTCATACAGCATATTTTCATTTCTACTTCATTTACACCAAAATGAGGTATATAAAAGTAACCGGGATAATCACTTGTATAGATGTCCTAAGGCGGCGTGACCGGGCGGAGAAGAAGGCGGTCAGCACATGGTGGATGACATCATCAAGGTGAGTTCGTAAGCTCTTTAGTATGTTTGTAGATATATCAGGCTTCTTTAGTCCTAGAGCAATACGCCTGAGCAAGTTTGGCACCTAAATGGAATCATTGAGGAATTAGGGGTTTCCACTCAATCTGCTCGCTGGCGGCATCCCCGAGAAGATCCACGGAGCCTCCAGTGGCAGTCTCGTTACTCAAAGCATGTCCTGTTTGATTATCGATTGGGAAAGTTCGGGATGTTGTCTGCGAGCTCAATGAGAGCGGCTTGCGAGGGACAACTGGTGGGGATTTCTCATTAACCACCTTAGGTTGGACTGACCCCGGCGATATCGACCCAGCTGGAAATTCATTCAGAGTTTCACGTCGCGGAGGAAGCACGGGCTTCCTTTCAAATTGAGCACTTTGCCTAGATTTCCGATTCTCTCCCAATTCTGGACTCGGAGCCCAGTCAGAGCCGAAATCCGAGGCGAAGGGGTTGGACTTGCGCTGGGGGTTTATGACGAACCCTGGGCCGGGTTGCACTGTTGCTTTTACCGGCGCTCCTAGTCACAAGTTAGCCATCTGCATGTCTTAGACCAAAGAAATTGACACTTACCATGATCCAACCACCATCGGTTCCGATCAGAGCTCGCTGGTGGTAGTCCTGGTGCAATAGAGACCTGTGGCACCATATCGTCATCATCCAAATCCAATAGAGAGACCGAGTCTGCCAGCGAACCATTGAGCTGGCGCTGTTTCTCCCCGTAAATCGATCGCCGGAGCTTCTCCTTGAGTCCATTATCAACAATGTCAATAACGCAATCGAAAGTTGCCCAAACTGGACGATGGTCAGACACTTTCAGATCGGCTGTCTGATAGTGCGTTTGCCGCAGGTTTGTTCCTCTCCACAACACTCGGTCACACCATGCGGGTATACGCGCTTTCTCGCTGTATAGTTATTAGTTGGTTCCTTTCATAAGTGCGGCGAGGGAACCCACGATGTGTCATATTGATCTCTTCCGACGTCGTACTTGTAGGTTGGCGGGAACTCAATGGGGCCTTCGGAATAGAATTGGAATGCTCTACCGGCCACCATTTGCAGATTCAACTGTTTTGCTGTTAGATGAACAGTTGCGAAAGGTCCCTATCGGTCAAACTTACTTGGTCATTCTCATACAGTCTGTGATAGTCTCGCTGTGAGATGAGGTCTCTGACACTCGGATTGCCTAGCCCAATTCGATAGTTGAAGTCTCCCAGCCAAATCACGGCGTCGTGATCTTCAATCGACCGGTTCTTTTGGAAGCGCAAACCTCGGTCAATGATATCGTAGTCCCTGTTTCTTTCATCGTAATTTGCAAAACCAGCAGCAAGATGGGCGGTAACGAAGCAAACACTGGTATTGGAAAATTCGAAGCGGATAGCACAGCCTCCCTTGTTGCCAGCAATTCCAGAGAGACCGGTCTGTAGGTGTTAGTAGCCGCAAAAGAATGAATGAAAAAGGAGTATTCCAATCACCTTCTTCACGCTGCCTTCGACGTTCTTAATGTCCTTCAGGGCATCTTCTTTCGCATAAACTAAAAGCGCAGCGCCAACTAGCTGCCCACTCCGCAGATGCACATATTTGCCAGTCCCTTTCATCTTGGAATGGGTGTTTAAGCAATTGTGGACTGCCCTTTCCCATACCTTGCGAGTACTGGGGTCAGTCGACATAATCTGTTGGGGGCTAAGGGAGACAATCTCCTGGAATCCAACAACAAATATTGTCGGGTCTTCATTGGCGGCATCTACCTCTGGGAAAAGCCACGGAGTGAGGTCAGTGCCAGGGCCCTCGTCGCGGCCATTCACGTTGAATGTGCCAACCCAGAATCGGACTTGTTTCCGCGAGGAATATTCAGAGGTTCGACGGTTCAGTTCGTCGAGAACCAAATCGTTGGTTGGATCATAGAGATATACAGGCAACTGGTTTGCTAGTCTTCCAAGGAGAAGATCAATTGTTTTTTGTCTGGCCTTATCCGTGAAGTTATTAACGTATAGTCGAGTGGCGCTTTTTCGGGCATCTGCAAGTGCTCCTGCGAGTGACATCTTGCCGTGTCGAGTGAAGGAGGACTTGAGGGCACCCGTCCCAGCATAGATTTTGGACAGCGCATCGCCGTTGTCGGCCCAGATGGTCGAATGTCGCACTTGCATATCTCCGCTGAGCCTGCCGCCTTGCTGAGACAGAAATGACTCAAAGGCCATTGAACTGATAATGGTCTGCACTAGGTTCGTTCTGTCTAGGCAATCTAAACAATTGGTCCGAAAAACACCCTCTTGTTGTAAGATAACGGAAGAGCTGTTCGCCGTGTCATCTCGGCTGCTGTTGGAGCGAGCAGAATCTTCCGACAAAAAGTAGGAAAACCCATCCAATGAATTGATAAGCTCATGTTTGATCTGGGAACTGGCTTCGTATCCGGAGGGACCCCTAGTTTCCGCAAGGAAATCATATTCGGTCATTCGCAAAAGGCTTCGACGTGAAGAAGTCCCGGCGCCTTCTTTCTGTCTGACTGAGCTTCTGCTGATATGGTCTCGAAACTTGGCTGACAGTTCCGCTTCTCCCGGCTTCAGCTCACTCAAGAGGTTGACGACATGCACAGCGCCATATTCCAACTCGAGGGATTCAAAGTGCTGATTGAAGGCGTGCTGTGTTGCCTCACTTGACCTAGTGACCTCGATCTTTTGTTGGCCGGGAATGAGACCTGGTGCCTGTTCCCAAAAGATGGGCACGGAGCCCCGTACTTGAGCATATGAGAAAACAATCCCCGGTGCAACCCACAAAATCGTTTCGGTTTCCACAAAGTTAGCAACGTTGCCATCATCGTCAATGCCTCTCGAGTTGAATCTCGTGCCAGCACGTCGAGAGGATTGCCGTGATATGATTGTCAACATTGATGGAAGGTTCGTTCGCACATGAGGGAGGATTGAGATAGTGGCTGGGACCTTGAGCGTACTGGCAAAGCCACGGATGACACAGGTCAGCATTTGCGATGCATCAAGTTTGGCCTTGTCGGACGGTGGCAAGTGACTGCGGAAGAGTAAAAGTGGATTGATCATGTACGAGTTCCAAAGCATGTCTTCATCTAGAGTATCGATATCAAATGCCGCAGATTTATCGGCCCTATGTGAGAGCTGTTAGCCTAAGGTCATATTCTTTGGTCAGCGATCAAGCTTTACCGGTCCTGCAACCGGTCCGTGAGGTTGAAATCAAGGCTATAGTAGAAACTTCCATCCCCTAGCAGCTTTTTCAGAGCCAAAAAGGGATGGTCAGTAACCAGATCTTTGCCGTCCATGCCAGGACGTTCCTCTGCGGCGAATTGAGCCCCAGTCTCATAATCAAGGCCATACTCGTATTCAGCACGGTTCAGGCAATCTGCCTTTCATTAACGCCAGATTCAATGGTTGAAAGAGAGATGTTGATCAAACCTACAGAAGCCTACATTGTCAATTCTTGACACAATTTCTCCGGGCCGTACTGTGGCTGCTTGCGAGGAGCCGGTGACCACGCAGACAAACACATCTTCGTTTATAGTGACAAGTCCAAGGGTGCCATACCCAATACCTAGGGGTCTGTAGCCTTCCAGGTCCACCAAGGTCAAGTCCAAGAACTCGACCAGACAGCGGGGGCGGTCCTTTGCACCGGTATCGGTTGAGGTGTAGTGGAACACTAGAGCATGGTCTGATGAGACCAACGCAATTGTACGCTTGGGATAATCCCGGCAGAGAACTCGGAGATTGGACATGATGAGAAAATCAGGCTGCAAAGACAAGCAGTGTCATTGCCAAGTCGGCAATGTCTCTATTTTATTCGAGCGAGTGATATATCCCACATACAACAACCATCGAAAGGCTCATTCAACCAAAGGTGAGCAGAGCTTTCACGTTAATCTTTCATAAATCAAAAAGAAAAAAAAAGGAAAAAATAAAAGCACAAGTGTTGACAGAGGTTGTTGTCCCCGCGAGGTTGGGCCCAAGGTTATCGCCTTATCGGCTGCTTACTCATCTCGCTCCCCGGTCTCGATTTTTTTTTTACTGCAAATCTTCTTTACTAACCTCAACCTCCATATTACTTCTTCCTTGGATCAACCATGGGCTTAGCAGGGCCGCGAAAGTATGCAATCGCTTTAACATCTTTGTGATTATTTCTAACCCGCGAGCAGGAAGACCAAGATCTCCAATGATCCAAACAACACCAACTGGACCCGCTCCACATCGGGGTTCGGCCATCGGATAATGAGTTCTCAGGGATGGAAACCTGGCAGTCTTCTGGGAGCACGAGATGCCGCCCACGCCGATATGCTGACCGCCGCCAGCGCTTCCCATATCAAAGTCACACTTAAGGACGACACTCTTGGGCTGGGCGCTCGCATTGGACGCGACCCTATGGAGCCTACAGGTCTCGATGCCTTCAAGGGCCTACTGGGTCGACTGAACGGAAAAAGTGATGTGGAACTGAAGAAGGAGGAACGAAAGCGGGACGACGTCAGACTAGCTCGGTATGCCGCCCTCAAGTTCCCAGAGGTCCGATTCGTCAGTGGAGGACTATTGGCGCAGGAGCAGAAGCCTGAGATCGCTCCGCCGATCCCGAAGGAGGATGTCCCCACACAATTCGACGCAGACAAAGAATCTACCTCAAGCGAGTCGGATGCTCCAGCGCGCAAGTCTAAAAAATCCAAATCCAAGTCCAAACCCAAGTCCAAATCCAAGAAAGACCGCTCCGGGGCAGAGGAAACGGATCGCACAGAATCGAGTTCGGAATCGAAAAAGGAGAAGAAAGAGAAGAAAAAGTCCAAGAAAAGAAAGGCCGATGGGGAGCCCATTGAGACTTCTACTCAGGCGGCACCAGAAGCCAAAGCAACACCAACAATATCAGGGGAGAGGCGGCCTATCGGGCGGAATGTCTTCCGGTCACGTTATATTGCCCAGAAAAAGAAGGCCTTGATGGACGACAAGTCTCTCAACGAGGTAAGGCTTACTTTGCTCGATTTCTATGACGAGTTGCTGACAGAATCACTTAGATCTTCATGATCAAAGCGTAGAGTTATGCTCATCTGCATCTGAAGCGAATTGGTAATAGACCTTGGAGTTTGAGGCGTTTCTGTTATGAATTTCCCCCAGCTATATCCTATTCAAGAATTGAAAATATAAAAATTTCGTTGAATAAAACACTGTATTCTTCATAATAAGACCCCCGGAGTGCCCTTTATCTCTTAGAGAAACCTGGTAGGTGGGTCGGCAATAGTCGGCACTTTTTACACTGTTTGCACTAGGTGGATTTCGCTCTAAGGGTGTTACACAATCTCTCCTATCGCCTTTCTCTCTCCCTTTCTTTTACCCCCTATACCTTACCCCGCTGGCCCGGGGTACCTGCCCCTCTTTTACCGCCCGTATTATCTTTCCCCTCCCCCCGCCTCCCGCCTATTTCCTACCTACTAAATAAGCATACTCGGCATGCGAGCTGGCCACCCAAAACAACACCTTAACTGCAAGATTTGATAACTCTGTACCTCGACAACAAAACCTATTTACACTTAGATCTTAGACTTAGTATCTTAGCATAGCAAAAATATGTAGCTAGCGGGGTTTTAATAAAATAAAATCATGATTGACGATATTACAGTAAATTACAATGTATGTTTGTTTGCCTTTTCATCTGAAAACAAATATATCTCGGTCACGGTGTCTCTATATGACTAGAGATTTCTAAGTTATAGATAACTAGTTAATAACGATATATCTTAAGAGTTAGACGTCGTTTCAGACCACAAGCGGCGGACCTAAAAATTGTAATTTATCACAATCCAGGTGATGTTTTAGGTGGCCAGCTCGCATGCCGAGTATAGTACTAATTTTCAATAATTTATTGTTTAAAAAAAAATTTCTAATGGTTTATAGCTTATTTATATGGTCTTGCTAGTATTTTACCCCGAAAAAAAAAGGGTAGGTATCATAGATAATAATAATATTCTAGTATACTATATACTACTACCTACCTAGAATATATATATATCGAGGTTCGGGCTACGTATAGTACTATAAACGTAGATCCTAATTACGCGAATACTATATAAAAAGGTAGGTAAATAGTAAATAGTAAAACGTGAAAAAATTTGATAATTATAGACTTAGTCGTGTCTATACATTTTCTGCGGCTAAAAGGTATTGCTAATTTACGAAGGCTGACATTACCTTTTAATATGCAATCACCGCATTGGATGCTGAGTCATCCCGCAGAGTCCGGGGAAAGCAGACGCCCGCACTTGAATATTAAAACTTGCATGCCCAGAGTAATGACTTGACTCCAGGTTCACATCTCGGTCTAGGCCTGTACGACGCGCCTCGATGATTACCGCCACTCCAAACGCCTGAGCCTTTTCACATGCGCGATCGGGATGCCTCGAGCAAGCACTACCCCAGGAGCTCGGCTCCGATGTCGACGAGCCTGCGACAGTTGTAAACGGCGGAAACAGAAATGCAACGGCGAGCAACCATGTACAATATGTGTACAGAGGCGCAAGGAATCAGAGTGTCATTTTTCGGACCGGCCTGCACGCACACTGAAGCCCGACGTTAAAGACTCGACAATGTTGCTTAGCGAGCGTATGATACCATCGCCACAAAGGGAAACGGCTATGGATCGACTATTGAACTCATTAGAAGACCGCGGGATGAACCTGGAACACCAGGCCAAGGACGAGAAAGAAGGGACGGCTCCAGTTCCCAAAGTGGCGAGACTTCTTCGCGATGGCCAAGGAAAGTTTATGTATATTGGCGATTCAGCAAGTTTGTCTTTCTTACAGAGCGTGCGCCGTGTCGTTACCTCTTCAATTGGCCGATGCGAGTTTACCGAGGACAACTCGCGACACTCCATGCTCGAGGCCTTTCAGAATAACCCAAGCTGCCAGCAACCTGGACATCTGATGACGCCTCCGAGTGACGAAGAGGCTCAAAGCCTAGCTCATAAATTCGTGCTTGCCACAAGCCCGCTACTAGATTTGTTTGACTTGAAAGAGTTCCACCCGCGACTTGCCAACTGGGTTGCAAACCCATCAGGCGATGAAGATACTGTCAGCTCCATTTTCTATCTGGTACTCGCCATCGGAGCCCAGGTTTCCGATATTGACCAGAGTTTGGCCGAGCAATATTTCGGTAGCGGTCGTCAATTGGCGTTCTCGGCATTCCAGGAGACCCCCAGCATCCACACTATACAATCATACATTTTGGTTTCCATGTACATGCTTGGTGCCTGCAGACGTAATGGCGCATTTATGAACCTTGGAATTGCTTTGCGAGCTGCTTACGCCGTGGGAATCCACCGGAAAGACGCAAACGCACTGTTTTGTGGACGCGAACAACGAGCGAGGGAGCGAGTCTGGAAGAGTCTCAGGATGATGGATCTTTTCCTCAGTGCCTCCCTAGGCCGGCCCCCAGCAACCTCTGACTATGACTATGACATACGCGATGTTGCTCTTGTATCAGGAGAACCACAGACACTTCAGACGCCTGAACAGCAGCTCTCCGTTGCAGTCATTTCATTGTGTCGGATCTTTGAACGGATTCTGACGGATGTCTATATGAAACAAGTGATATCGATCAATGTCGCAGAGAACATCTCGAATCAGCATCGGGCCTGGGTTCGAACCCTGCCAACAATCCTCAAGATGCAGACCGAAAGACTTGAAAACAAAACCATGGAAAGCAGTCTAGCTGCAGCTCATGTGTTTGGGTCATACTACTGGTCAATCATTTTGCTGACCCGGCCGTTCCTTATCTATCGCGTTGCCCAATATGTGAAGGGCAAAACCGATTCATCTTTCACTCCGCAGACTCGAAACGGGAGCTCTCGTATTGCACTGTTCGCCGACGCGTGTGTCTATTCAGCGCTGCGAGGCTTGGATGTTGTCGATGATCTCAGCCACTATGCCGCCCTCCCACGACGGCTACCGTTCCTGATCAACTCCGTCTTCAATTCCGTCATTGTGCTCGGCGCTGCCTTTTTCGCTGATTACGACAATTTTCTCCCCCTGGAAGAGGGGATAAACAAGGCCGAACGATTCCTTGGGTTATTTGTCCCGCATGATCCTCATGCCTGCCGCTTCTTTCAAATCATCAAGTACCTCCGTGGGGCCGTCACCGAGTATGTCTCACGACGAAATAGACAATGGATGGATCGCCGCAGTAAGCAGGTCGACCAGCTTTTCGGCCAAGTCGGCGGTGGTGAAGATCCCAGTTCTCTGACCTCAGGGATTGGTCGTGATATTCCTTCTGCTGGCCAACCGAATGGTGATCCACCGTCAGCGGCGGCGCCACCTCCTACCTCGCCCGGAAATTTTTCCGGTGGCATGCCATCCTCTTTCCTCACCTCACAGCCGCCACATTTCTCTGCCGGCGACGATGTATGGGACGCCCTATGTAACGGCACAGATGAAGCTGCTGCTTTGTCCTATGATGCAGCAATATCTGCTCTGACTACCTCTGGGATCCCGGTGGGTTGCTCTCCCGGAGGGACCATTCCGTCAGGACAGCAGCCTGTGTCTGGTGGCCCGTCTCCTCTCTCTGGTGTGATTTTCCCAGACAATGGTCTACTGTATATGGCCGAGGATCTGCCAAATTTTGGTATCTGGCCGGAAGAGCCGTGATTCAGAGAGTACTGAGCAGCGATATTGCGTCCTTTGAAAGCTGGTTTGTTTGGAAGCGGGTGTACTGACGCGGCTCGGTGCCTTACTATTATGAGAGGTGGATG